AAATTAAATTTTCTAATAGATTCTATACTTATTTGTAATTATTTGAATTTATTTGTAATTATGATTTACATGTAACTATGCCAAATCAAGTCAAGTCTCATTTAATATATATACCCTTGATCAATAATGATAAATCACACAAAAAATCAATTATCTGACATGGCATCACATTCCTAAAAGATCCTAACCTAATTCTCAACAAAAAGTCGTCGCCATCGTCATTCTTCTCCTTTCAAACTGTCGCATCCTCTATCCCACCTTTCCGCAATCATTCCTTCCTTCCCTTCCCTCAAGCGCACCTCCATAAAATCTTCTTCCCTCCCTCCGATCATGATTCTCGTTTGCATCCTCACCACCAACACCACTTCTCTATCAATATCGACCAATCCGACCCTGACGACCCCTCCTACAGTCACATGTCCTCTTCATCCTCTCTGCCTACAACATGTCTTCCTTTTCCAATGAAAGAAGAAACATGAAGACTCCTTGTCCCAAGGTGGAAACTCCGACAACACCATCATCCTCTGCCAAGCCAAAATTTCATTTCGTTCTCCCTATTTCGAACATTAGGAATAATATTTCTATTATGCTTGAAATATAAATGGTTTGCTACGGCACATGGACAAAGTTATTTCATGTTCATGCCAATTCTCATTAGTTCCTTCATCATATTGTACCTTAAGACAATAAGCATCCACCATCTATCATTGATCTGACTTATGACCAGTGGGCCACCTTAGATGCAAGCGTGCTTTAGTGGATCTATTACACTATTTCTATTGACTTACTAACCACTATCATTGAACATAGCTCCACGACTTTGGATGCCTGAAGCGTTTGGCTGACCTCTTCCAGGATAATCAGAATGCATATGTTGTCACTCTTGAGCGTGAATTCTCTAGGGTTCATATGAAGACTTTTTCAATTGGGAAGATCAACCTCATAGCATTTCATTTTGCCTAAGACTTAAAGCACCTGCCTCCATGGTTGTTCACTGATGATGATGAGGATATTTAAGGATAGTCTCACTTTTGTGTTTTATCTTTAGTATTTAAGTGTGTTTAAATTCTCGTATTTTCCTGCCTTCTATGGTCTTTATAATTCTTAGCATTTTCCATTCTCAGTATTTGAATTATAGCATTTTAATCAAATCAATTTTTTCTTTATTTAGTAAATTATATTTGACCTATATGCTTGCATATTTACAATTTATTTCTAGCATCTTTACCCGCCTTTTTTATTATGCCAAATGGAGAAAAGTATAATCTCAGGGGGAGTAGAGTATACTCTCTATTCGTGTGAGATGGATTTTAACCACTCCAATTTTATCTATTTATTTTCTCTTTCACCACCTCTTTTAGAAATGCATTGTCATTATCGAAAAGAGGGAGAATGCAGATCTATGCTCTTACAAGTTTAGTCAAGAAGTGATCGAAGATGGTAAAGTTTATGGATAACAAGGATGAAATTCAACCAGTAGCTACTTAGTTTTGATGATGGCAATGCTTGAAGTCAAGCAACTGCTAAAGATAGCTCAAGCGGTCAAATATACACAAGTTGGTTGATCAAGCTGTATATCCTCCCAAATTAAGCAAGACATCTATTTATAGTCAACACTGTAGTCCAACGACTTTCGAGTGATGACTAATATTTCAAGGATCATTGGTGGTTTAAGCTTTCAAACTCTCAAATGATGGAAATCAACATGTAGATATCTCAAGCCTCATCAAAAAGTTCAATACTCTTGTCTGATGCTAAAGTTAAAAATGATAATGTCAAGACTTAAAGTTTCAGAGTGTGAAAGAGAGGAAGTGTGAAAGATCGCTTGGTCGTGTCCGCCTGAGTAACCAGTGCATTCTAAAGACACAAGGGCATTTCTAGAAACATCATGGCTAAATTACACAGAGACTAAAAACCCTTGAGAAACCTCTCACTGTTAAAATTAAATCACCAAATTTTTTTTTGAGGCCTAACTAGTTGATTATGGGAGTGTTCAATTGATTAAGAGACTTTTTATAATTGTCTACTCGATAAGATCTTTGGCCTAATTGATTATATGATGATTAATTGAGTCTATAATCGATTATTAGAATCTCTTAATGATTGATAACAACTCTATATCAAAATGTTCCATTTTAGGTCTCAACAATTGATTATTTGAGGTGTCGAATCAATTAGCTGTGTTAATTGGCCCATGAATTGTTTCCAAGTTTGTAAAATACCTTAGTCTATAAATAGAGAGCTTCTCTATCACTTTTGTGCATCCAAAAAAGATGAATGCCTCCCTTTTCATTTCTCTCATCACCTTTCTAAATCTTATTTTCACATATTTTAGTCATTGTTCTTTGACACTAATGAGGAATAATGCTCCGAGTGAGAGAAAAATTGTAAATTTACTAAGAGTGAATTTTCTTTTGAGTAAATAATTATTCTATAGGAAGTTGTTGTTTAGGTTACGAAGTAAACTAGTTAAAAACTCTTGTTTATTTTGATGGATTATCTTAGAATGTCCCAGTTTGGTTCATAGGTTTCTCCATTGAAGAAAAAACTCTCATTTGATTTGTGAATATCACTTAGTGAACTTCTCCACAATGATCTTGATCTCATCTCGGTTAAAATCTCTATCAGTTCAATATCAGCTCATGTAAAATATCTCTTTGTTTTTTTAGTTCACTCTGGTGTAAAAACTCAGTAGGTTCGAGTTCATCCCGGTAAAAAAATCTGGGTCGGTTTGGAGCATATCCATTTGAAAACTATGTCTTGGTTTGAGACCAATCTGTGCAAAATCTTTGATGGTTTGGAGACTAACCACTTCAAGCCTTGTTTGTTGTTTGGTTAAAAGCTCTTCAGATCAACTCTTTGGGACATTATTAGGCCTTCTTGGTCAAACTTGTATAATTCGTTGGTGTTATTTCTCTTCCCTTACTTTTTTTTCTTCAATTATTTTATTTTTTTGCTGCTTATTTTTTCAATTATTTTGAAATGGTTTAAATTCTAATTTTTGTACAAATAACCAGCTCTTGTATATGTAGTCACATGTCTAACAATCATATCATGAGTATTTTGCAAAAACATTAGAAGATATTAATATGTCAAATAAGATTCAGAGTATGATATGCTTTCTTTGTTGGCATTGAGTGTAAAAACACTAGCCATCATATTGAGAGTTGCAAAAAAAAAGTTTTAAAGAGAAAAAATGAGCCTACAAAATGATTATAACGGACAACAATCAAGGATCAAGATAACATAAAAATATCAATACGAATCTTATGCATGAGAAAGATAAGGATCAAAGACACCTTTAACACTAGGTGCAAAAAACTAAGAAAATAAGCTAGACAACTCAGAAATCTACAACATCATTGTATAGTAGAAATGACAACAATAATTATGTTAGAATATTATAAAAATGTTTATAATATTCAAACACAATTTTAGACATTGAAAAATTTGTTGAAAATACTCCTAAAATTCCAGCAAAGACCCCTATGACTAGGGCTGGAAATGAGTCGAGTCGAGTCGAACTCACCTCAGCTCGGCTCGACTCGTTAAGAATTGTTCGAATTCGAGTTCGAGTTCGAGTTCGACGCGAACTTTTTTTTAAGCTCAAACTCGACTCGTTATAAGTTCACGAACAGTTCGGTTCGACTCGTTAGGTTCATCTCATTAGGTTCAGCTCACATGGTTCACGAACTTAAAAACTATTTTTTTAAATATATATATTTTTTAGTATATTTGACATTTTAAATAAATATATATTTTTTAAATAAAATATTAAAATAAAATAAAAGTTATCATATTGAAATTTAACTTTATCTTCGAAATCTACTAATTCAAAACCTACACAACTTTCAAGAGATACATTTGAGAGTCTAATTCAAAAACTAATAAATTGAAGATTAAATTTGTCTAAGATTTGAAGTAAATATTTAAACCTAATCTTAAAGACAGTATAATTCTTTTCATATGTAATCGAGTTGACTCATGAACCTAACGAGTCGAACTATGTATAGTTCAAGTTCAGCTCATTTAGTTAACGAACTTAATTTTTCGCTCATACTCAACTCATTTGGTTCATGAACCTAGTTCAACGATTTAATTGTCGAGTCGAATTCCGAACTATCTTCGAGTTGGTTTGGTTCATTGCCAGCCCTACATATACAATGGAGTTTTATCTTTCCGAAATATCAATACGAATCTTATGCATGAGAAAGATAAGGATCAAAGACACCTTTAACACTAGGTGCAAAAAACTAAGAAAATAAGCTAGACAACTCAGAAATCTACAACATCATTGTATAGTAGAAATGACAACAATAATTATGTTAGAATATTATAAAAATGTTTATAATATTCAAACACAATTTTAGACATTGAAAAATTTGTTGAAAATACTCCTAAAATTCCAGCAAAGACCCCTATGACTAACAAAACTAATATTAAACATACCATAACCAATAGGAAGGCTCTCATGTCCAAAAATATTAAAATGAGTGGACAATTATATAAATGGATAGCATCTCATAATTATTGAATTTCAATTGTTTTAAAAGTATTTCAAATATCTCTTTTTAATTAATCTATTTTATGTTTCATACACCATAATAAACATTATTTAGAAAACTACATCATACTTATGTAACTCAGGTATATTTTGCTCCAATTAAAATAATACAAACTGTTTTTCAGATATTTTGTTAGCATTCAATTTTATAGGCAAAATTACTATATTTAAGTTGAATTAGTCTAGATCTATTATAATTAAGTTCGAACTCAGCATTGCTGCATATTATCAAATGTGTTTTTGCTATATAACTTCATTATCATAAACATTTTTGTTGTCTCATTACACCTGAAAAAATAATTTATTACGTTAAATTTATTGAACCCCATGAGATAAAAATATAATAAAAGAATCCAATTACTAGAATTAAAGATTTCTTTTTAATTAATTGAACAACAATTTTTTCAACATCAAATTATTTTTAGTACTTACTTTATTAAAAAAGTTTCAAAAACTTAGACTCCCTTGATCTCATAGACTCTTTAAAATCTTTAGCATCACAAAAATTCTCAACATAATTCATCAATTTCATTCTTGCCTCAATACATGGATCAAAGAGATCCATATATGGAACACTTGTGCATTCATCAAAGCCATTCATAGTATACCTACAGAGTGAATAATAAAATTTTGATAAATATTATATAAACATTTTATTGTTTTCTAAGATAATTTTATATTTTTTATCTTTACATTTTGCATATTTGCGACTTTAAAAGTTTACTCCATTATTTTAAAGTATACATTTAGGATAATTTTGCTACATAATTAGAATTTTTTTAAAAAAATATTTAAAACCTTACTTCAAATAGTCAAATCCATTATATCCACCATTGACATGAAGTGAATCATTGAGTTCCATTTCAATAAGATCAAAATTCTGAGAATATAAATGACATTAAGTTAATATCTATTGTTTAATATTTTTATAAAAACTTTTTTTAGTTGAATAATAAAAAAAAAGTAGTTTACCTTATTTGAGTTTGAATTGATAGAGATCCATCTTCCATAATCTAAATGAAATATCTCAACATTTGTAAAACATTTATGTCCATTTGTAGTACTAATAACTGCACACAAAATAAAATATTGTTCAAATAAATTTTAGCCAAATTTAAAGATCAACAAATAAATTAATTCATATAGTGTATATAAAACTAAAATAAAAAATTATCAAGATATCATATATGTGGTTTAATCATCTCTTTTCATTTTCTCTCCAACTCTCTCATTCACTACTTTATTTCTATCCCCTAATATTTCATCACTCTTCTTTAAATCATAATTATTTATTAATTTTTTTTCTTTCATCTTACATTTATTTTGTGCGAAGAAAAAATGATGAGAAAAGAAGAGAAAAACTAACTATTTTTCATAAAAGATAAATATAAATAAATATTACCATTCAATCGTACTTGTGTAGTATACAACCCAATAAAGTTCAATGGTTGAAAGGATTTGGTTGCATTTTTAGACAATAATAATTGAATAATCGTCTTCTCCACATTTGTAAGTTTAGATATTGCGTAATCTTCTTTGATATGTTGAATTTGCAACGAAGCCTTCATATGACAAAACAATTATTAGTGTAAAATTTCGATGCAATACAAATTTTTTCTTTTTTAATCATTTAGTCAAAATAAGATTGTACCCGCTTTTGTTTTAGATCATCATTCTCCAAAGATTTAGTTTTTTGAAAAGCTTTTCGTTCTCCAACCCTTTGTTGCACGGACTAAAAGAATAAATTAAGTTTAATTTACTATAAATAAAATTAATTTATCACATTTAAAATATTTTTATTCACCAATCACTAACCTGCACTATAGTATAGAGATTCTTGAATGATGCACTGCAATTTTCATCATTCTTTCTTAAATTCAATGGTGCCTCTTTATAACCTTTTATATTGCTATCATTAGGAGTATCTCTTACATTGTCTATAAAATATAGGTCTTCATTTTTCTTTCCAAGAGCCATTTCTAATAGTTTCTTATATACTCGATCTTTTTCGTCATGATTTATCTCCTTTTTAATTCGATGGTTACGTAATGGTCGGTCGAATCCATCTAAAAATGAAACAACATCAATATAATTCGATTTTCTATTTGAATGAGTAGAATGTAATGTAGGAGAATTATATGTTTATAATATATGTTTATAATACTTCACCTTTTTTTAGGGTTTCGCGTGGAATATTAGCATATTCAATTCTCCTCTTTGTATTATATTGTGGTACTGGTGTTTTAGTAGCTATGGCCGTAGATACAAATAAATACATTAACTTGCTTGTTTGTGTATGGTCTAGTTCAAACCAAAAATGATTATTAAGATAATAATTTTCTCCGATTACTTCTCCAAATTTATCTTCTAATAATGGATGACACTGAACTCGGACACGAACTTTTACCTTAAACATAAATAATCCAAGAGCATTCGTATTAATGAATCTTACATCAATCATTATTTTGAATCATATAAATTATAATTAATTACGTAGATAATAATAAACCTATGATACCTGTGCAGGATACTGTGTTTCATCAGTATAATCATCATTAATCCATGCATATGGGTCTATAAACATTTTTCCATGACTAGTTGCCTCAAAAATTCCATGAAGCTTTCTATCACTATAGTTGAATAGAAATAAAGGCATTTTTGGATTGATATTCTCCACATATGAAAAGTGCTGAGCTGGTAACCCTAAAACACATAAAATTCCACCATCAATAATAATTCATGATCATGTTTAACTAACCCAAAAGTGATTCTAATAGATACAAATATTGAGTCAAACATAGTTTAACTTAATAGAAATTAAATTACAAAAGACTAACCAAAAAGTTGTTTAGATAGACATTCTTTCATTGTATGCCTTGTACATCCAAATATGACCCCACCAAGTTCATGCTTTCGCAAATTCCTACCAATGATAGATCTATTCACAGACTTTTGAGAGATAGGTAAAGTACCATTGAAATTAAAAGTTTGTATTTTCCTTTCTGTCCTCATCCTAGCACGAGAAAAAAAAATTATTTCATTAGACAAACTATAACAAAAAAAATATTAGAGAAATATATAAAGATTAATATGTTGACAGTGAAATAATCAAAAAGTTGAAGACATTAGATGTTAAAATAAATATTGTTTAATATTTGAATACTGAAAATGACAATTGAAGTATTAGACAAAAGGATAGAATATTAGACAAATCAATTTTGTGTTATGATTCTAGGTGGCAAGATTTTAATTTGAAATAAATTTTATTTTGAAAAAATGATTTTAATTTTATGTGAGTTAAATGTGAAATAATCTTTAATTAAATAAATTTTAATAAAAGTGATTTAAATTACAAGTTTCAGTATAAATATTATTGAAGTCAAAAATTACAATTATAATTTAAAATAAAAATCAGCTTTAATGAAAAAAAATCAGTTTTAATTTAAATATTATCTTTAAATAAACGGTTACAATTTATTCTTATTTTAAATAGACAATAGATAATAATAGTATTAATTAGTTACTAACACAAAAGAATTGATTCTTATTTTGAAATTGTTTATTTAAAATAAGAATCATAATATGTACTCCCTCCGTTTTTTATTATATGTCGTTTTGGAAAAAAAGTTTGCCAAAATATAAGTCGTTTTGTAATTTCTATGTAGAATTAATTTTTTTCTTCCTAAAATACCCCTAATTCATCTCTTTTTTCTATAATTTTTATAATTCAGTGAATCTTGTATTCCAATGCAGAGTGATATTATGAATATTGTTTTTCAATGCATTAGTCCAACTTTTTATAGAAAAAGTCTTCCTCTCATAAAACTCTATATTAATTTGTGATTTTTTTGGCACAATTTTTTTTTCCAAAACGACATATAAATTACAATGAAATATTTAGAGGGAAATTTAAAAAAAAATTAATGAAATATTTAGAGGGAAATTTGAAAATTAATGAAATTAATGAAAATTAATGAAATTAATGAAAATTAATGAAATATTTAATGAAGAGCCATAAGAATTTGGAGGGAAAAATTTAACAAAAAAAATCTTAATTTTTTCTCCCAGAGTACTTTAGCGTATCTTTGGTGAGTGATGGAAAATTTGGGAGGGAGAAAAATAAGGAATTAGTGTAAGATAGAAAAAGACACGTATAAATTTAATTAATCTAATGTTTTATTCCTGAAATATATTGGAATAAATGCAATCTAGATATTCCATCGACAAATCATAATGATTAATCTGATATATTTTGAAACAAGAGATTTTGAGTGTTTTTAAAAAGATAATATTGAAATACCCTATAATATATTTACAAAATTAACATCTGTAAAAAGTCTAAAACAACTTATAAAAAAAACAGAGGGAGTACTTTTTAACATTAAGGATCATCATAATATGTATACTTTTGTCAATAAACTGATTTTTAATAGACAATAAAGTAAATATAGTCTCTACATATTCTCAAGTTTGAAAGTGTTTTAGCATGCCAAATAAAAATAATGAAAAAAAAATAGAAATGAGATGAAAAGAAAAATACTTGTGAAAAATCTTTTTGTTGTAAATGAAATATTAAAAAGAAAAACTAACAACACAAAGCTGTAGAGGTAAGGAAATGATTTTTTTTATAGATGGAGGAAGTATTTATATAACACAAATTAAACATAATAATATGAAGTTGCTTCATACTATGTATATTTTAAACATAATTTCATGAATTATACATTTGTTTACACAATATCATAATTTATATATGTGGTCATATTTTGTGAGTAGTAAAAAACAGAAATTATGTTTGTTAATGGTGGATATACAAAAGTCATGACATGCACATTACATTTGTTCTTTGACTCAATTATTAACATTTTAACAATAAAGATTATATAGTTTGTTGTTATTCATGTTCGAAATGTATTTATCATTTTCATTTGAAATGATATTGTTACGAAGTTATAGCACAAAATATTGAAGTTAATATTAACGGTTTTGCTTGATTTTTATTTTTTGTCATGAAAACAAAATATTATATAAATAATTATTGGCTAGATTATTATGAGCCACCTAAACCAATACTAATGTAATACATAATAAGGACAAAACTCTTTTTAAAGAAAAATAGAGATTAAAAGGAGTATCTAGTCACGCATTCATGCTGGTGAATCGAAATAGGCAGACCTAAGTATCTTATACATGTTGGGGTAATTTACTTAAAACCCACACCATTATTCATTGCTACTTCACCATTTTGAAAAGTCAAAAAAAATTTGAATTTTGGAAATGCATCTTCTGACGCATTCAAATTATATATCGAGTGAGCCACTTCCATAATAACCTTGATTTAATTTTCATCTCCGTAACAATTCTTATTTACAAACTTAGGGTTTTACGCTCAACGAGTTTTATAGAGATGCATTTTTAGACGGGGTTTAATTGATATACTTTGCGCCAAACCATTCCTCTTTGCTTCTTCATTTTTTACATTTTTAAAAACACTTCAACTTCAGAGCTCGTGAGAAAGAACCAACAAAGTCATTTTTCAAGCTTCAACACTACTTCAACTACATTGCAATCAATCTCACTAGATTTCATTCACTCCACTCAAGCTTTCGCACAACAACTCTTAATTGGTAAATTTCATATTTTCTTTCTATTCTTGGTTGTAATGCATGTATTAGGTAAATAGGTTGTTTAAAAATGCATTAGTTTATAGTTATATTCAAAATAGGCACTCTGTTTAGACATGCGTACTAATTTGTTGGTGTTTAGGGCATTGCCTGCACTTTCTGAAATTTTTACTATCACACATTTTTACGGAGATACATCTTTGGTATTTTATGGAATTTTCTTCCTTTTTAATTTTACGGAGATGCACCTCCATATTTTTCTGGATTTTGCTTTTCTGTTCTACGGTGATGCATCTCCAATATTCAATTGCCTTGATTTTGGTATGGTTTTCTATTTTGTGTTATAGGAACAATGGCTGAAAAATCAGGACGGGTTAATTCCAACATGCGTCAGTTCGTAAGGAAAGGGCAATGTGCTCGAGGCTACGAGTTAGTGCTAGTTCTTTTGAAACGGAAACGTCCACTTTACGTGATCGTGTGCCCCGGGCTTCACAGATTGGGTGTCTCGGGCCTCAACCTCCAGAGGACACGTGTCTCCTGATGACCCTATAACTTACAAAGCCCATGCTGCTGCTAATCATGTTCTTGATAGTTTTCCACAAGGCCCCTATGAGACCTCCTTACTTTCTCTCTATTCTAAAAGGGTGTTGATATATTTATTTTATAGGAGCATGAAATTGTATAATTTGTAAACCATGCTAGAAATATTTTGAACCTAGAACATAATACATATGCATGGTTTCAAGATTGTGTTCGTTACTCTGGGATGGAAGGTTTATGCTCCACTAGATACATTACCATTAACCATGACATGATGGCGGATTTTGTGGAACGATGCCACAAGGAGACATCATCTTTTTAATTCCCTCATGGTGAGATGTCCAGCGCCTTTAATGATGTCTTAAGCCTTCTGCATCTTATGATTAGGGGAAAATTACTATATCATTCCTGAATAAATAGAGGCGAGACACTTGAATTGATGGTGAATTTATTAGAAGCTGACACAGGTGAGGCCCAAGAGGATATTGATGCCACAAGAGTCACTCATGTCTAATTTTCATACCTGGGGAGCATGTACAAATACCACCTAGTTACGACAACGGAGGTCGAAGGTGATGACGAGTAGGTTTTGTTCCATTGACAATGCACATTACATTCATACTTCCTATACTTGATTGTCACAATAATATTTATGAACAAAAGTGCAACCTATGTCGATGTAGTCTACGTGACATACTTCGCAGGCTTAAAGTGGATCCACGAGTGGAACCAGGGGGGCCGTGTTTGGTTTTTATGTACTCCAAATCACGTGAAGCTTGTCTTTGGAAGCAAGGCAGATGAGTGGAAGTTGCACAGGTAATTTATATGTAACCTTTATTATTATTATTATTAATATTTTCATAAAGCTTGTGATACATTTGTTACTAATACTTTATATGAACCATTTTCAGGTGTCGATCATAGCTCGCTTTCCTCGCATATCCGGGTGGGAACCTGTGATGGATTACACTGTGGATTGACCATGTTCTTGCGTCTTTTGTAACACCTTGATTTTTAATTAAATATTTTATTTCATTATTTGCGTGCTCATATGTGTATTATTCTATATATTTGAATTAATTGTGTTATTTAGTGTTCAGGGGGTTTTTGGTAATTTAACAATTACTGGGTTTATAGAATTTAAGAGCAGAAAAATAAAATAGAGTTTATTAGAATTATTAGAAATCATTAGATAAATTTAGTTATTTGGTAATAATTTGAGAAAATAAACATTCGAAGAATTTTGGTTAAATATTTATTTAAATAAAATATTTATTTTTTTAAAATAATAAAAATATGAAGAAAAAAAATTAGAGTTTCGAGTGAAATTATAATTTTGGTAAAAATTGCAGGGCAAGGAGTATGAGATCAAAAGTTGAGGGGAAAGTTAGTAATTTCATAAAATTCCTTAGGTTATTTAAATAGAAACGTAAAGGGATTTGGAAAAAGGGTTTGGTTGATACGGGAAATTGGGAATTGGGAGAAAAAAGGCAACAAAGGAATTGGAAGAGGGAGAGCTAGGAAGCCATAGTCAAAAGTTTGAAAGCTTCTTATGAAGGTTTTCCATTTGGGCAATATCTAAGAAAAGGGAGGCATTTATGCTTTTAAGGACCTCTTACTCAAAGAATGTGGAAACAATCAACGCCCTTAAGTCAAAAATGATGGGGAAATGCATGTAGAAAAACTTGTCTTCTGAATCCACATGGACGACAATGTTAACCCGTTTTTCATTAGAGCATGGCTACAAGATGACATATTCCTCATTGTCCAAACTAGATAGGTTTATAATCTAATGAAATTAAGTCAACTTTTCTTCATATGTATACAAATTTTGAAGTCTAGACTCCT